CCCCAAAACCCCAAAACCCCAAAACCCCAAAACCCCATATAAGACCTATCAAACTGAATTGTTAAAATGATTAATTTATTAATATTCGCGCTATTTATTTTCAAAGTGCAAGGATACACAGCTACAGCTATATTCGGCTCTTCTGGAATTCATAGCATATCAGGCACGTTGACTGAGACAGATACAGACACATACTCAATCGATATTAATATGAGTATTCCTGTCGGACATAGACAATATTATCAATTTGTTTGAATTAATACTGAATCTTCAGACTACACTCTTACTGAAGATAAAGAAAATCTGAAAATGTTCGGTTATAATTTTTTATGAATGGGTTCTTGATATGCTAGTTATGATTATTATTCTCAGAGTTTGTTTTATGGAACTGCAAAATACACCTATGCCGAGGATAAGTATTATTTTACCTCACCTTTTACGACCCTATATGAACCATTACCAACATATACCAAAAGTCCATCTGATCCGTTACTAACAGTACATTACGAAAATTTGCCAAAAGATAAGGTGGAAGAGATGAACTGGCCAATTAAAGATAATCTTATATATTTAAAATGCTTTGCTGGTTTTAATCACACTGGCTTTACCTCTTATAACAAGGATATAAAAGCTGAAATCGAAAGTAAGACTCCTTCATCTTCAAAGAATGTCCCCTTTGGTAGTCTTCCTCCCCCACCCGATCCCACTCCAACGCCCGATCCCACTCCAACACCTGACCCTACTCCCACTGATCCTTCTCCATCCGATCCCCCTTCTGATCCTACACCTCCCTCAACTCCTTCTGTGAGTACTGAGGAACCCAAAGCTACAAGTGAGAAAACAGAAGATCAAGGAGAGAAAGCCCAAGTTGTGACACAAGGGGTCTTCCTAATTACTGTAGTGTTTGTGCTCATTGGATATTTGGTCAGCAAATCCCATCCAACAGCCCTTTGGATTGTTATAGATCAATTTCAGATGATCGCTCTAGTAATGATAATGGATAAGCATACACCTCTTGAATTTGAAAATTTCTTAAAAGAAATTGGATTTATTATGATGAACTTTAATTTCCTCGGATTTTCTCATGCTCCTTACATCAAAGAGAATGCAGACTGGCTTGATCATGGCTCTGTTTCCACAAAACTTGACAACATTGGTATTGAATCGAAGAGTTTCCTCTACAACAATCTCAGTTTGGTAGCCGTTTTTATAGGAATAGCTACAATTCATATAATTTTGAAGTTACTATTTTGCTTCAGAAACGAGGATCACTCAAGTTGTACTGTGAAGAATCTTTCAAAAATGAGAAACAAGACAACAAATCTAATGTCGTGTTTTGTATACACTAGACTCTTCATGATGGCTTATGTTACAATAACATTAGCAGCATTGTTAGATATCAAAGAGTTTGAATTATCTGACACTCCCAGCTTGGTATCTTTCGTATCTTCATGGATATGACTCGCAGTTTCAATCGGAGGAATCTTACTTGTATTTTGCTTGTACTGGAGTGCAAGAGGTGGAATAGATACTAAGCCCATTAACTTCACAAATGGAGTCTTTTCTGGTCTGAAAGACACTCCAGCCTCTCGCTTAATGCCATTTTTCTCAATGTCAAGAAAGATCTTGACCACTTCGGTGGTAGTCTTCGCATCTCTTGCTCTAGACAGGACTTACGCATTCTCACTTCTAGCAGTTATACAAGGGATTTTATTAGTGTTTATGGTAAGATATCATAATAAACTTTAGGTTTGCATACGGCCATTTGCGCTTATCCAAAATAATTTACTCCAGGTATTCAATGAATTATTCATACTTGGAATTATTTTGTTCCAACACCAAATGGATAGTGAATCTTCTTGGTCTAAGACAGCAAGGGAGGATTTCATGAACATCCTGATCCTCAACTGAGGCATAATAGTCTCATTACTGTTCTGTAAGATATCCAAACTAATTATTAGGCGCCATGACCATTAATACGATTAAAGGATTCGTCAAATGCTTCAACATGAAGAATAGAAAGAGACCTGTAAGTATAACTTCAGGAGTTTATCCTCTCCTTATGGCTTCCTCTCTAAAGCAGTCAATTAGGTCACTTGGGTCTAGCTCTGAAGAGGGCTCGAGGATTCATGCTTCTTTTTATGATCTAACCTCTAACACCAAATTATAGCCGATCAAAGTACAAGGAAGGAGCTTCAAAGTTCTCCCAGTGACCACCGGTAGGGACATCAGCATGCTTCCTGAATCCAGACCAACTGAGGCTGCTCCAAAGGTGTTGAACTTCAGCATGGAGACTCATGCAGCAGTGAACAGAAGGAGCTAGGGCAAGAATTAATAATTTGATCGTAAAAACTCGCTTATTCAACCTAACTATTTTCTCATAATTTCTCTGAAAGGGCTTTTTGGGATTTCGATAAAGAAGAAGAATTTCAGTTCTCAAGGGAAAGAGCACAAGTAGTCTCTGAGCGGTATTGGTGGCTGCCTCGTGTGGGGAATACTATTATTTGCAAGACTTAAGAGACTTATAAGTTATGAAGACACTCAGATACGCATGAAGTGTGCATTACTTTGATAAATGGAAATATGAGTGAGAAGTTAGATATCTGGCTTAGTTTAAAGCGTCTACTCATAATTCTGAAATCTTAGTTGAAGTTGATAGAGGTCAGCATTCTTTGTGTAACCACATCTCTATTTACTCACATCCTCATAAAATTCCTCTCGTCTAAAATTCCATAAGTGTCATTCCTCCTCCCCATGCACGCTTAACTCCTAAATTTCGACTCTGGCCAATACCCCAAGTGTCCCTCTACGAGTAAATATCTAAGTGACTAAACCAGCTTAATTAATAATAATTACTCCAGAATATGGAAGAGGAGTTAATGCAGATATCTAGCATCGGCAGAGATGTACTAGCTTAGCATTTTAGGATGTTTACGTTGAGCAAATGTTAAAAGGTGGCAGCGTCATGAATCTGATATTCGTAAGGTCCTGTCTGACAAATGTGCAAGCTTATTAATCAAAATTCTTTATATCCTACTTAGTTGGGCTTCATTTTACCTTTTGGGCAAAACATTTGCACCTACAATATCATTTTCCACTGCTTAGGTGGTGATGCTCATTCTGAACTCGACAATAATTGATCCGAACGTAATGAAGAAGGTTTAGAGTAACCAACTAGCTTGCATATCAGTTAAAATCCCCCAAAAATGTCCAAACTCCTTACAGTCCTATCAATAAATCCAGCCAGTACACCCCTCATCTCCTATCTCAGCCTTACACAACACCTACTACAATATCTACTCTATTGCTGCGGCTTATAAAACCCACTTATTCTCCACCTTCCACTAATCTTCGACTATCTTACCCTCCAAAATCTAGCATGAAGCTAGGTCTCCCTAACGAGGTCTAGTAGCTATTATAGGCTGATTATTAATAACTGGGCTAGAGAGTTCAACTGCTTGGGTCTTAGGTATCACTGGTTAAGAGATAGGCTCAAGATCGGGTAAAAATTATTAGGTTTTTGGGGAAAAAGAGGTTACAGACATGTTTGGAATTTTAGAAATTATTTTATGGAAATTAAGGGAGGTTTAGTAGGAATTTGGAATTTTGTGAGGGGAGGTAGGGGGATTGGGGGAGGTGGAAGAGGGGAGAGAAGAGAGGGGGTTTATGGAGGGATAGAGACTTGTGAGGATGGTTTAGGTGTTTAAGAGCATCTTGGAGTTGTTTGGCACTTTAGACGTAAAATTCTTGTGGAAGTTGGATTTTAGTGTTAAGGGAATACTCAAGTTTTTAGATAATTTTAAACACTCTTTCACAGTTTTCAAGTTTTTCTTCATATACTCCGAGGCAGCTTCGATCAGTCTCTGAAATCTCGATTATTTATTGGAAAATTCATTTAAAAACAGAAAAACGAATAAATCCATTTCCTAATATATAAAGCAAGAATCAGATTAGAAAATTTTCTAACTAAATATTTGCAAACTTGTCCATTGTATTAATACAAAAATAATATTATTTCTTCATATAATATTAAAAAGCTGCTCACTACAGGTCAGGAAAGCCTCTAATTATCCAAATCATAACTCCTTACTAATCCTCATAACCACAACTTCACCCATCCAAACCACCCAGCACACATACCCTCCAAAACGCCTCTAAACCCCTTAAAATTCCATTTTCTTCCTAAACCTTAGTCTCAACCCCATTCTCGCTTCCCGGGGTTTTGGGGTTTTGGGGTTTTGGGG